ATATCCTACAGCGAAATAAATAGTTTTAATAAGAAATGTTTACACTTCCTATTCGGTAAATTTGTTAAGTCTCTTGGCAACAAGTATGTCGTTTGTTGTTTGTTAAAATTGCACCATGATACTGCTGCTTTTGACATTTTGGTGAGTTATAGATTAATATTTCCCTGTTAAATACTAATCTCTGTTTGATTGAGCGGAAATATTGTTTTGAAATTTGGTTTTGTTTTCTGTTTGAATGCTGTTTCTATTATGTTTAATGTCTCACACATTAAACTTAAGCATCTGATGGCTCCCTTGGTTTTTTGTGGGCTTATTTGGTTATAAATAAGAGGAGTTAGGATGTGGGCCAATGAAACATTCGTTTGGAGAGGAAAAATGAGAATTTTACAATGATTTGTTTTAAGTTTTAATTTTTCGACTTTGGTTCATGTGATTTGAAGTCACATCTATTTTAGTAGCATCATTTATGTTATACTATTCATTAGATGCACATACGTAATGTTGATTTTTTCTCTGTCTTCCACAGTGGACACATAGATTGATGCCTTACATTGTTCGATAAATTTTCTATGAATCTTAAATTGCAATCCGTGTGCTTCTCTATAGAATCATTTACACTTTCTTAATTTGTCTCAGTTTTTTATGGATTTATTCTTGTTTTTTTAAATATTTCATGAAGATTTATATTTAGAACCCCTCTTACATAAAGAAAAATATAATAAAAACTTTTTAGATTTTTCTTATTTTCTACATAATATCAACGTGAGGTTAGGATTTCCTTCCATTTTTATTTTTTTGTCTTGATGCTAAAATTTTTCATTTCAACCATATTCTTATTTTTGGATTCTCCTTCTATTTAATATGTTTGGGCTCTTTGATTTCCCTTTAGAAGAGTTAACCATGATTAATATTGAAAATTAGACCAAGTGAGAACTCTAGGGATTTCAAGCATCTTATTACTTGAAGGAAAAAAAATATCTTATATGGTCATAAATTATAAAAATTTTGTTCAAAGGAAAAGGAAAAATCAAAGTACGTATTTTGAGAAGAAATTGATTTCATAATCATGACATAAGTGTTGAAAATCATGTTATTGGAGATCAATAAACCATTTATGTTTCACTCAATTTCAAAAATGGTTTGAGATGCAGTTACACAAACTTATTCAAAATTGAAAGACATTGCACTAATCAATAAATTAAAAGCTTGTCATTACAAAACAAAACAATATTTCTATCATTGAATGCTTTAATGTCATAAAGATTTACTGGTTAGAGTCCAACTGTCATCGAGATCTTAAGATGTTATTTTTTGAGGATGTAGTAGTGATCCTCAAATAATTTGCTAGAATCTTTGAGTTTCTAGTAGGATTCAATGATGAATTTGATCAAATTTGAATCAAAATACATTGTCTCTTCTCCGACTTAAGTATTCCTTCTCATACTGGCTAAAAATGGAAGAATATGATTATCAAATGATCTGACGCTTGAAATATTTTTCATGACAAATTCTGAAATTTATGTTAAGAGATTTTTTTTTCCTCTTTTGTCATTGAATGTTCTCCAAAGAAGGACAAAAACATTCTCCAAAATGTAACTTTTGAATCAAAATAACTTTTAGTCAATGTTAAGTCCTGCACCAACTGTACTTATTCAATCCATAGAAAAAGGAACAAACCTAAATGGGATTTGTAGCAAGTCTAGAAGTTGGAATCATTGTTTGGTAGGATTGATTAATCAACTATTACTCATTTATTTCATATAAGCCTAGTCCACAAACTCTATTTAATGCACTGAGAATAGAAATTGGATGGAGGTCATAAAAGAAATGATGAATACTTTAGAAAGAAAATTATGCTCAACAGATTGTTGAATCATATATATATATA